AACCGCTCAACAACAATGGTCGATCCTGCCTATTTTCTTTTTCAAGATCAGTTGTTGTTGGATTACTGTACAAAATGTCTAAGGAAAACTTTTGTTTGCTACCATGGTTTTTGCTGTTTGAAAAAAGTTTCATCAGTGAGTTTGAAAGCCATTTACCAAAGAATCCATTTTCTCGTAAACGATATATGCTGAAAAAAATTTTTAAAAGATTTAAAACAAAACAAATAAAGATTTTGTACATTATATTAAAAGGCGCAATCAAGGGTGAACCCTTTTCGGCAATCCACCCCAGTATGTCCTGCTCAAAGCTGACCGAAGCAATGTGCAGCGGAAGGCGTGCTTTGAGGTACCGCTCTGTGGCAAGCAGAAATCTTGTTGCAATGACCACATTTCGCGGATCCCCTTCAACAATGGCAATAATTTGATCTAGTCGTTGGAATAGCCGTCTTGTTCGTTGGTAGTGCTGTCCTAGCGGCAGGAAAGCATTATCCGGATGGTCAGTAGTGTTCAAAAACCGGTCATTGTGAGGGTTTTTTGCGTAAGCGACCACCACACGTTGGTCCTTGCTTATCAGGGCAAAAAGGCTTGAAAGTGAGTCAACTGGCGGCTCGTACTGCGGCAGCGTTAGCAAAGCGTAAAAAGCGGCTCCGTATGCTGTACACAGAACAAAAACGGAAAGAAGGCCAGTCACATAAAGCAAGTATAAAGACAATGTCCATGGATGATGGTGCAAAGTGTTGTGTTCATCATTCTTTGCATTTTGCCGCGCAATGATGACAATCATAAGCAAAAATAGCATGCCAAGTGATAAAAATGTGCATGTCCAGACTTCACTATTGAAAGGCGCCAGTAAAAGCCAAGCTTTTGATTTAGCTTTTGGGCTTTGAGAGATAAAAGTCAACTCGTTCATGAAAATAAAAGTGCTGTAGTCGACCACCTGATGCCGATCAAGTGTTTGCGTTATCATACACATTGCAATGTGAGCTTCCTAGAAAGAAACTGAATGACTTTTTATTTTATAAAACAAATTATTTTACTTTTTTCAAAATTCGCCCCACACTTCCAGTCCAAGTGCCGTTATCCAACTTTATTCCCCAGTTGTTGTGTTCATCTACAAAACTGCTGGTAAAGTTGAACCGGTTTTTCAAAACTTGAAGCAATTCATATTCAACGCTGTATCCTATTTTGATTTTGTTAACTTTGTCTTTTGCGCTTTGTTTTTGCCAAATTTTATTTTGGTTGTTTTCAAGTGGCGGTAAAATATTGCAAAATGGAAGTATCTACAATATAAACAATTTATTTTAAAATTAAAAAATTATTTTAGAACATACATGGTTTACTGAAATAATCAGTGTACTGTTTTGCAAATTTGAGTTTTGTAACAACGACATTTTAAATGAATAAATAACAAAATAATTAAAATTTTTAATTTTTTTTGTAGTTTTAACTGAAAAACCGTTAAATAGTTTTAGTATCAAAATTAAAAATTTTTTGTTATAGAAAAATCAATAGCAAGTTTTAAGTAAATTAGTAAACTATATTTGATTTACAAGAGTGACTGCTGAAAAATACTGTTGGCATTTGTTATTGATTTTCTACTTAAACACTCCATCAATGCAACGGCTGCAGAAAAAATCAAACTAAAAATATAAAAATAGAAAATAGATCGAAGGCAATTTACTGAAAGCGGCTGCACAGCTGCTTGATTTTTTCTATTTCCAGATGCACTTGTTGGATTACTGTACAGTATGTTTTCGGAAGTTTTATCTTGTCGCATGTGACGCTGTTTTTCATTGGTCGGGTAACGCATCATAGCGGTGGTAAACCATTTTTGAAATAGACCACTTTCTCGAGCATGAATTATTCTAAATAACAAAAATTAAAAACAAATAGCGTTGTTAAACTTATAAAACTTACACTTTATTAAAAGGTTCAATTAATAAGGAACCCTTTTCAGCAATCCACCCAAAAATGTCAGCTTCAAAACTGATAGTAGCAATGTGAAATGGCTGACGAGCTTTTAAGTAGCGCTCTGTGGCAAGCAAAACTCGAGATTCAAGGACGACGCTTTTCGGATCTGATTCCATGATTTTAATCATTGAGTAAAGATCACTAAAAAGAGGTTTTTTAACTCGCTGCAAGTGAAGTCCTAGCAAAAGAAAAGTGTTCGATGGGTCGGTTGAGGTGTTTAAGTACCGCTTAAGGTTGGGGTTCTTCGCATAACTGTACACCGTTTTACTGTCCGTTTTTAGATGTTCAAAAAGGTCTGCCAGTGAGTCAAGTGGCGGCTCGTACTGAGGCAACGTTAGCAGTGCGTAAAATGCGGCTCCGTAAGCAGTGCTCAGGACAAAAGCCGAAAGAAGGTTGGCGCCATAGATGGTCCGCCATGATGAGGAGTATCCGTGTTTATTTACACTGTTAAAACCTAACAAACAAAACAATTTTAATAGAGAAAAATATCTTTTTGTTTGAACTTACTAATTTCTAAATTGAGCACAAAACTTGGTGAGAAGTTCTTCTGCTTGAAACTAATGATCATCTTCATCATCACTAGAAAAACGACTGCACTGACGAAGGTGCACGCCCACACAAGTTGGTCGAAAGGCGCCATCAACAAATAGGTTTTTGCTATTGCTTTCGGGCTGTGCGACATGAAGGTCATTTCATTGAAAAAGGTGAAAGTAGTAAAGTCGACCACTGCCGCACGTTCTGGTGTCAGCGTGATCATGCACATTGCTAGGTGAGATTGCTAAAATTGCAAAGTTTTAAAATATGTTCTAAATTTAACTCATCTATGTTACCTTTTTAATGACCCGTCCAACGCTGCCCGTCCAGGTCCCATTGGGCAAAAGAATGCCCCCAGTTGTGTCTTTCATCAATAAGGTGACTTGTGAAGTTGTAATGTCGCTCCATTATTTTTAGCAACTCAGCGTCCATTGAGTAGCCCAGTTTTACTGTTTGGCTATTTGCCTTTTGTTTTGTTTTGTTTTGTGATGGTATCATTCGGCAAAACGCTAAAGCCTAGTTTTAAATTTAAATTGTATAATTATTTTTTGTTGATTACTTAAATTGTTTTACATGATTCACAGAAATGTTTAGAGTGGCTCCGCAAAAGTTGCATTTTGATGCTATTTCATTTAAGCGGGAAAAATCCACTGGCGTTTTAGGAATAAAAACTTGTTTTTCTAAACGGAAACAACCATCAAGTTTTGGATTAATAAAAATTAAAATTTGATTTGTCTGAGTATTTTCATTATTGATTTCTCTAGAAATTATAATTGCTTGAAATTGTTCATGTGAATAATTTGTAATAGTTTGCCTATTGACCCACTGCTCTATATGGTTCACTATTTTCTTGTTTAAATGATTGTTTAAAATTACGATAATTGGATAACATAATTTATTGTTTTTAAATTGGCATTTATAAAAAAAATTTGACAATTCAGATATTAAAATATTTAAAGAAAATTTTTTTAACTTTTTAAAAAAGTAATAATTAAAAATAATTTGTAGTTTAATTGAACTTTTAATCAATTCATTAAAAAAATTCATTTTTGTTAAATAGTTAAAATGAGTGATATGCAAATGTGAACATTTATTTGTTTTTAGAAACTTTGTTATTGAAATTGTTGGAACTTTTGTTGTTAACTTAAAATTTTCAATTACAATTATTAATTGGCGTGATTGAAAACTCAAATTTTTTTGTTTGTTTAAAACTTGCAATGTTGAAAAATGACAAGCATTTTTTAAATATTGGAAAATTGTTTCGTTTTTTTGAAAAGGAATAAAATGAAAATAAGATAAACAAAATAAATGTAAAATTATAATTAAAATTAAAAAAAATTTATTTGCAGACATTTTTTCTTTAAAAATATAATCATGATCATCAATACTACACATTTTATAAATTTTTTTAACAACATAAAAACTATTAAAAATTTAACAAAAATGCATTTTCATTTTCTAAATTAACTTGCCAACTATTACTTTTTTGTTAATGGCCTATATTTTTTGTTGTTTAGTTATGCAAAAAAATATTTTCATTTAAACAAAAACATAAAAGATTAAAACATTAGTTGATTGCAAAACAAATAAAAAATATTGTTTTTCTAGGAAACACTTTACATAAATGAATACAGTATTTTAAAACAACAACAAAGTTAAAATAAATTTTTAAAACAAAAACAAACAAAAAAGTTTTTAGCAAACAAAAAAGTTTTTTTACAACTTTCTCAGTTTTAATTCACCAGGTGACTGTAATTTAACTGTTTTATTTTTCACTGTAGTAATGTTAGTTTTTGTCATTACCGGCACAAAAATAATTGTTTTTTAAAAATAAAAAGTTTATCATCTTCTGTCTGATTTATTCTGGTACTGTTTACGTGTGCGCATATTAATATTATTAAGTATAATTACATAAATGCTTATTGTTACAACACAAAAATAAATTAAAAATAAAAAATTTTAAAAAGTAAAGTAAAGTATATCACTAGTGCATCTGCATGGTATCATCAGTGCGTTTGCACGGTATCATCAGTGCAGACGTCCTGGTTTGTCCAACGGTACAAATGCAAGACGATATCATTTCAAGTGTAAGTTAAGTGTAATTGCCAAGGCTACTAATTGGCTAATGTTTGACTATTTTTCTCAAACCACAACTTTCGGACAACTGCGGTACAGACAGCTGATAGGATGATACTTGTTGAATCTGGAATTTATCCAGTTCCTTTTGCATGTTTTTTTGATAAACTTGTTTATAAATAACTGTGTTTGACAAAAAATGTTTGCCACTTTAGATACTTAAAATTTTCATTTTTAAGCAACAAAAATTTAAAATGTTTAAACTTTGCGCCGTTTTTTTCTTGATCACAGGCATTTCAGTAGCTTTTGCAGAAATTTTCAAGTACCATGACTGCGGTAAACGTGTCTAAAATTTATTTTTGTTTTTAATTTTAAACGTTTTAAAATCGTTTTAACTTATTTTTAAACTTAAAAAACAGGCCACAAAGAGGTCACCTCGCTGGACATTGCCGGTTGTGCGGCCGGCCACACCCAAAGCGTCTGTCCAATGGTGAAGGGCAAGGAATTTGTGCTCAGCTTCGACTTTGTGGCCAACTCAGACTCGGCAAAAGTGGCCTTCAAGTTCACCGCCGACCTGGGCGGCGGTGTGGTGCTGCCGGTGCCGGGCACCGACAATGACGCCTGCCACCACATGAAGTGTCCCGTGGTGAAGGGACAGAAGGTCGCCTTCAAGTACCCCATGGTCGTGCCCAAGGTGTTGCCCAATCTGAAGGCGGTGGTGGCGGCCACCTTGGTCGGTGACCACGGAACACTGGCCTGTGTGCAGATCAACGGCGGAGTGCAGGATTAAACAGGGTAAAAATGTTTTATTTGAAAACTTAATAAACGGTCAAAAGAATAAAAACATAGTTTGTTACCAAGATGATTAAAACTGTTTTGCGTTTTCGTAACTTCTAACTTTTTAGGAATATTTTCTTTATCAGCATCTAGCGAGGTGCCCAGCCCTAGCGTAAGACAAGGAAAACAAACCCTTCTTCTCTTCTTCTACTTAGCATTAGCCTGAATCCAGTCCAGGTGCGAGGTGACGCGAGTGTAGACGCCCGGCTTGCGCGCCCGGGCGCAGCCCATGCCCCAGCTGACGACGCCAATCTGCGTCCAGCGCTGCTCACCTTCTGCCCCCTGCCCACCTTCTCGTTCTGGCTTGAACGGAAGCGGAAGCGCCAGCGAGCTGCCACTGTCGCCCTGGCAGCTGTCCTTGCCGCCGTCGTCGTAGCCGGCGCAGATCTGCCCACTGCGAATGGGAAAGTTGGGCAGCGGTAGGTAGGCGAGCATGCACCGCCAGTTGCTGATCACCGGCAGCGCCACCTGCTGCAGCAGCTCCGGCAGGCGGCTGCCGCCCTCCGCCGTGGCGCCCCAGCCCACCACCGTCGCCATCCGCCCCGTCAGGCTGCTGCTGCTGCCCGTCGAGTCGTCGGTCCGGTTGGGCAGGCAGATGGGTCGGGCGACCTCGGCCATCACCTCCAGGTCAATCGGCTCGGCGAGGATCAGCAGGGCAATGTCATTCTGCAGTGACAGTTCACTGTAGCGGTTGTGCCAGAGTATCTGCTGGACGGGAAGGCGCCGTCCTGAGCTGGTTCGGTTGTGCGCCCCCACGAGGACGGTGTACCGTTCCGCCGGTCGGCCGACGCCCCCCGAGCTGACGCAGTGGGCGGCACTGAGGATGGTCTGCGCGGAGAGGAGCGTCCCGCCGCAGATCAGCCGACCGTCGTAGAGGAGGCCCACGGCCCAGGGGAACTCGTGCGGAGCGGTGGTCTTTCCGCCCACCACCATGCCCAGGCTGCCGGCGTTCTTCAGACCGCAGTTTGCTGCGACAAACAGAGAGAGAAAAAAGAAAGGGGAAAGGTTAAATCGTAATTTGAAGCAAAAAGTGTGATTTTACAAAAACATACGGCTACTTTTAAACAAGTTTGGTTGAGCAGTTTCAACTTCATGGTTAATGGATGCAAGTCCAAAAATGAAGCAAGAAAAAATAAAAACAAAGTTTTTGTTGTGCATTTTTTTAGCAAAAGTGTACGATTATTAAATATTAAAAAAGTAAAAACCAAAAGATATCACAATTTAAATTTTTCTTTGGCTATTTATACTTAAAACAAAAAACTAAAAATTAACTTTTGTTGCAATTCTTTTACACTTTTGTTGTTTTTTTTCTAGTTTTACTAGTGCAACCACAATAAAAATAAAAAACTTAACAAAGTATCCTTGTTAAAGATCACGGAAAGTTGTTGCAATCATTTTTTTATTGTTTAGAGGTCAACAGCTGGAAGCAACTTGCACTGGTTGCCAAAACAAAACAAAACCCGTGTCTAGGAAGATAACCTAAATAAGTTAATTACTGATCATAAACAATAATAAAAATTGTGTGGAAAATTAGCAGTTTTGTGGTTTGGCATAGCAAAGTAAAAATTTAGTGTCAAGCCTTTTAATTTTTCCTTGACCGACATTTTAGTTTACAACTATGGTCAAGGTTAGTTAATAATAAATAAAACAATTAATGCAAAAAATAACTGTAATTAGAGTTAAACTTATTTTAAAAATTACAAAAAATTTCCGTTTTTTAATTTTTTATTAAAAATCAATTGCACTACAAACCCATGTTTCTATGACTCTAATGTTTTTTTAAATGTCGAGATTGTAGTTAAAACTTTGATTTTTAAAAATTTAAAAATATTTTAAAAATATTTTAAGTGCATATTAAAAACAAACATGTTTTTAATAAAATAGATATAAACAAGAAAATAAAAATAAAGTCTCAAAATTTAATATGCAAATAGTTTTAATTTATTAGTTTAATGGCATATTTAAGTACCAACAACACAACAATAACAATAAAAAGGAAAAAAATTAATAGAAAATTATTCAAAAAATACATAAATCTCAGTTTTAATATACTAGAAAACAAAACTTAAATTTTTTAAGTTAACTTTTTTTAAAGTAATACTACACTTTTTAATTTTTTTAAACAATTTCAAGTTAAAAAATTATTTTAAATTAACAGCAACAATGAAGTTTTTTCAACAAGAAGTTGTTTCACTATCAACGTTTTTGGTTCGAGCAGTATCATCTCATTGGAAAATTCATCTACAGCAAATTGATCCAATATTGCCGGTTTCTGAAAAAACTAAAAACAAAAAACTTTCTCAAAAAACACATTTTCTTTTTGCTTTTGCTGTTTCGTTCCTCACTGTTTTGTATGGCATTTTCGGATTGCACTACGAAGCAACAGGAAACTTTCCAACAAATTTTCAAAATCTTCTTTCTAGTCCTTACATCTACACTCATCAGGTAAAAAAATATTAAACTTGTAAATTATTTATTTGTTAATTTTAGGTTATGATGCAAGTTGTTTGGCCTCAATTGGATTTTGGACTTGGAGTGTGTGACTTTTTTGCTACTT